GACAAACGGTATGTCCACGGGGTACCAGGCTCAAGCCTTATTTTTTGATAATACGGTCAACTTCTCCTTCCCCGATGACTATAATAGACCACCGTCTTACGATATGGAGTCGGGAGAAGTGGAGGAACTCGTACCCGGCGATGTTGGCACAACCTTGGTTCTTCGTCGAGCTGGTTTTGTGCCGCGGGGTTCACGAGATACACCAGTGGAACATCATCATCTGTTTGAATCCATTTGTACGGTTGGTGACAAAGTTTGTCGATTCATTATTGACTCGAGTTCATGTGAAAATGTTATCGCTCAGGAGGCCGTGGAAAAACTGAATCTTTATAGTGTTCTTCATCCACAACCTTATACACTCGCATGGATCCTACGAGGTAATGTAATCACTATTGACCTACGTGTGTTACTTTCTTTTTCTGTGGTGCTGAGGTCTTGTGATCATATTTGGTGCGATGTGGTTCCAATGGATGTCTGCCACTTACTGTTGGGTCGTCTATGGCAGTTTGATCGAGCAGCCACTCATGACTGTCATCTCAATAGTTATCCGTACTTGTTCGAGGGGGTGAGGATCGTATTGCAACCTTCTCCACCTCGCCCCGCCCCGACGACGAGCCTGTCATTATTAGTTCTTACTCTATATCGATCGACATTTTTGTCGAAGATACGTGATTCTCTGATGGTCCTATTAGTTGTTGGGCGGGATACGTTAGATGACCAGTCGCCACCTACAACTATTCAACTGTTATTGGCTGAGTTCACGGATGTTTTTCCAGACGAGCTTCCTTCAGGCTTACCACCACTTCACGACATTCAACATCACATTGACTTGGTCCCAGGGGCGTCTCTTCCAAATCAGCCGCAATATAGAATGAGCCATACTTAGCACAAGGAACTGCGACGCCAAGTTGATGAGCTAGTCCAACGAGGGGTGGTGCGTAGGAGTATGAGGCCTCTTACGGTCTCGGCCTTTCTAATCCCAAAGAAGGATAGCATGTAGCGCATGTGTGTGGATAGCCGGGCCATAAACAAGATCACTGTCTGGTACCGCTTCATGATACTTAGGTTAGATGATTTGCTCAATCAGGTGTATGGAGCATCGATTTTCACCAAGTTGGATCTACGAAGCGACTATCATCAAATTCAAATCTGGCCTAGTGATGAGTGAAAGACAATTACCTTCGAAATCCGTGTGGGTTGTTTGACTGGTTGGTGATGCCATTCGGATTATCGAATGCGCCCAGCACGTTTATGAGGGTGATGAATCAAACACTGAGATTTCATTGGCAAGTTTGTCGTCGTTTATTTTGACAACATTCTTATCTTCAACTAGTCCGTCGAAGAGCATCTCCAACATGCCAGGGGTCTT